CTCTCTCTCTCTCTCTCTCTCTCTCTCTCTCAAATAAAAAATAAGTAAATAAAAATAGTTACCTGTATGTTGAGTACAGTTTTTAAAAAGAAAAAAAAAAGTCTCGGGGGATTGCAGGGCAGGAGACTGGATCGCTTGCCCGTTTCCTGTGTTCCTTGGGGCAGGTCCTCTCAGTTCTGTGAGCCTCTTTTGTCTTGTGTGAAATGTGCTAAGTTGGGCTCATGACTCTTGAGGTTCTCCCCAGATGGGTTATTACTCCGTCAACAGGCACGTTTGTCTGCCACTTTGCAGTTTGAGTGTTTTCACATGCTTTATCTTACTGAAAACTGCTGTGGAAGATCCGGTAGAAGGCATAGATAGCTACGTGCATTTAAAAAAAAACACGAAAAAAAATGTTTCTGAGGATCTCAGGGGTGAAATACTAGAGGCTATCCTGTCTTCAGCAGGAAAGTATACAAATTCCTCTACTATTCATTTGTGACAGGGAGTGGGGAGGTACAAATGTAAAATCCTGCGGTTTTTTTTAAGTGGAAATATAACTCAAAAACTTTGTAAGAAGGAGCGAACAAAATGAAAGCAAAAGAGGCTAGACTTTGATATACTTTGTTTTGTGTGTTTGACTTTGAAGCCTATGTTTTTCCATAGCTATATGACAAAAATTAATTTTTAAAGATCAGTCCCTATGGGGCATCTGGGTGGCTCAGTCCCTTAAGGTCAGACTCTTGATTCCGGCTCAGGTCATGATGTAACAGTTAGTGAGTTCAAGCCCCGCATCCGGCTCTCTACTGTCAGCACAGAGCCTGCTTTGGATCCTCTCTCCCCATCTCTCTCTGCCCCTCCCCTGCTCATGCTCGCTCTCTTTCTCTCAAAAAATAAAAAATATTTTTTAAAAATCAATCCCTAAAAGTTGAAAGTAAAATGAAATAAATGAACCTAAATGTGATTCTACATGGTGGCCTAACTTAATACGGAAGGGAACTTTTCTCAATGACTTGAAAACACATAAATTTAACTGTACATCCCAAAGATCTGCCCTAAGGACAAAATTAACTGCCATTAAAAAAAAAAAAAAAAACACCTGCCCTAAAGTCTTAAGTTATATTCAGTAGTCATGTGGGAAATAGGTAAAAATGTGTAGGACAAAACATACTTATGTTAATAGTATCAGAACTGGAATTTTCACCTAGTAGAAAAGAGATATAAAATCAATGATGTCATGCAAATTCTCTGCCATATTGAATTTAGGAAGTATCTTATGAACCCCTGGTGTATTGTGGTTTAAATTGAAAAGTGTATCCTAGTTCTGTCCACTGAAAAGCCGTTAGAAACAATGATGGACCCAGTAAGCACCCATGGCCCCCAGAATGTGGTAGCTAATTCCATAGCCCTGAGCACTTCAAAACTCATATACATGGTTATAGCAGCTTTATTCATAATAGCCAAGAACTTGAAACAACCCAAATGTCCTTCACCAGGTAAATAGTTAAATTATGGAGGTACCTGGGGGGTTCCGTTGGTTAAGTGACCAACTTCGTCTCAGGTCGTGATCTCCCGGTTCATGAGTTCGGCCCCACATTGGGCTGTCTGCTATCAGCCTAAATAAACAAACAAACAAACAAACAAATGTTAAACTATTGTATATCCATACTATAAAATGCTACTCAGCAATCAAAAGGAACATACTATTGGTACACAACAACTTGGATGAATTAGCTAGGTTATGCTGAGCCAAAAAAATAATAATAAAAGCTGGGGTGCCTGGGTGGCTCAGTCGGTTAAGCATCCAACTTCAGCTCAGCTCATGATCTCACGGTTTGTGGGTTTGAGCCCCACGTTGGGCTCTGTGCTGACAGCTCAGAGCTTAGAGCCTGCTTCAGATTCTGTGTCTCCCTCTCTTTCTGCCCCTCCTCTCTCAAAAATAAATAAACATTTTTAAAAATGCATCAAAATCTCCTGGATGGCATGTTAAAACACAGAATTCCAGGCTCCAGCAAAGAGTTTCTGATCCAGTAGGTCTGTAGTATGGCCCAAGAAATTGAACTTAAAAAATTTTTATTTTATTATTTTTTTAAATGTTTATATATTTTTGAGAGAGAGAGAGAGAGACAGAGCATGAGCCAAGAAGGGGCAGAGAGAGAGGGAGACACAGAATCTGAAGCAGGCTCCAGGCTCTGAGCTGTCAGCACAGAGCCTGACACGAGGCTCAAACCCACAAACCATGAGATCATGACCTGAGCCGAAGTTGGATGCTTAACCAACTGAGCCACCCAGGCGCTCCCCCCAAGAAATTGCATTTCTAATAAACTCCCAGATGATGTTAATGCTGCTGGCCCTAGCCCACATTTTGAGAACCACAACTGGTAAATGGTGATGCCTCAGCCTACCTTGGGCCCAGGGCCTGACTACCCAGGCTCTTACCCATAACCCCTAGTGCTTCCCAACCTGCAAGTGGGGCAGGTGGCATGAAAGAGGTCTTTGGGCAAATACTATTTGGGATGTACAACTTGGGGAGAAATGTGGCAGTTCCCCCCAGACTTTGCTGCTCCCCCCTCCCACTCCCAGGTAGGCCCACCCAGAAGCTACTAAGCCTTTGGCCTAGGGCTAGTCCTGGGCCCTCTCCTACTTCTCAACTCCTTTCCTGGCTGATTTCCACAGCTCCTAGACCAAGCGATCAACAACTGTGAGTGTGTGCATTTGGGTGAAGGGTGGTGTAGGAGGCTGAATAATGACCTCCCAGAGACATGAGGCCCAATCCCAAGTCTCCTTAAAAGAGGGAGGCAGCAAAGAGGAGACAATGTGAGAGAGATCAGAGTGGCCACCAGAGGCTGGACGAAAGCAAAGAATGGATTCTCCTCCGGAGCCTCTGGAGGGAGCACAGCTCTCCTTGCACCTTGATTTTGGCTCAGGGAAACTAATTTCAGACTTCTGACCTCCAGAACCATGAGAGAATGAATTTATGTTGTTTTAAGGCATTGAGTGTGTGGTAACTTGTTATGGCAGCCCCAGAAAACTAATACAGTTGGGGGAAAAGTCTGGGCAGCACCTCGGGCTTGGGTCACCGTGTTCCCCAGGATCTCACCCACACTCTCACCTTGGCAGCATCCCCATCCCTTGGGGGGCTGAGATTGGAGTCCCCTTGGTGAGAAGGATCTGGTCATGAAGGACCATCTTGTCCTGAGAAGGCTTCCCCAGGCTCCAGAGAGTTACCAAGGGAAACAGGTAAAGACAGGAGAAGGAAGAGTGGGACGCGGGAGATAGACAGGTGGTGTATTGGAGGCACTGGGAAGGGAAGCCTGGTGTTGGCATTATAGAGGAATGACTCACTGGGGTCCCTCCATGTAGGGAAAGGGATGGGGGCCATATCAGCACAGAGGGAGGGGCCATTAGGGGAAGTCTTGTGTGAAGAAGTTAATGGTGAGGGTCTCTGTCCAGCAATGCCCATCCAACGGCCTCCTACATCTCAAGGTCCAGGGAGTGGCCACACAGCTGGTCACTGATCATGTCCAAAGCATCAGGCAACCATGGCAACCAGGAAGCAAGCGTGCTCAAGAAACTGAGGCCTTAGATACTGAGTTTTAGGAGACCAAAACCTGGGCTGCTAGCAGAGCCCTAGGAATTAGGACCCAGCCCCCACCCTACCCCTGACAAGCTCCTCTCTGCCATGCACTGTGTCAGTCCTTAACCCAAGAAAACCCCCAAATGCCCAGCACATTTCCTATCTGCATCCTAGGCTGAAGAAAGGCGTGTTGCTCTGGCACCAATGAGCTGAGCAAAGATCTGGAATTGGGTTGGTTCTAGGCTAGAGGGATGGAGGGGCCACAAGCAGGAACCAGGTAGTCCAGCAGGAAGTGAACTTGGCAGAGAAAGAGGCCTTCCACACTGCTGTCGCCAGAGATGTGCCTGTGGGCACAGATATCACATCTGCTGCCCCAGGTCCATAGTCCACGCTTAGGGACAGAGAGAGGAATAGGAGGGACTCACATCCCAGAGAGGACTGGGCCTGGGTCCAGAAGCCAAAGGACTCCCCCCCACCCCCACCCCCTCCAGCAACACCATCTCTTTCCTCTTTAGGCCTTAGTCTTCTCATTATTAAAGGTGGAGGTACTATATTAGTTGATCTCTGAGCAGCTTCTGTTCCAGGCAGTACATCCCCTCCCCCAAACACCACACACACACACACACACACACACACACACACAGAGTTCAGTCTTTTGCCACCACCCAGGGGCTGGTCCCCTCCCCTTGGCATCTCCTGCAACCAGCCCCTTCCTCTCTCCTTCCCAAGACTCTCACTTCTCCCCAGGACTCTAGCATCTCCCCTCCCCACCAGCCATGGCAGCCTCCCCAGTCAGCCCCCAGCCAGGAGTGGCAATTCAGGATGACTGGATAGATGTGTCCAACCAGCCAGGCCTACCAGGTGCCGCAGGAAGCAGCGAGTATCCTGATGCAACTTAAAAGTGGCAGGTCTGGGGCGCCTGGGTGGCGCAGTCGGTTAAGCGTCCGACTTCAGCCAGGTCACGGTCTCGCGGTCCGTGAGTTCGAGCCCCGCGTCGGGCTCTGGGCTGATGGCTCAGAGCCTGGAGCCTGCTTCCTATTCTGTGTCTCCCTCTCTCTCTGCCCCTCCCCCGTTCATGCTCTGTCTCTCTCTGTCCCCAAAATAAATAAACGTTGAAAAAAAAATTAAAAAAAAAAAAAGTGGCAGGTCTGAGGATGGATGCTGGAGATCAACTGCTTCTTGGCAAAAGAGAAAACCCTAGAAGCATAAAGTGGGTGCAGTGAGAGCTGGAGCGGTGGAGCAGGTCAGATCTCCTGCCAGGAGCAAGCTCCGTGCTTTGGGAGTCATCCAGTGAGCAAGGAACTGAGGTAACACAGGGCACAGGTCAAATGGAGGAACAGGAGAAGCCCTGGAATGGGAAGCCATCATTCCAAGAGAGCCCCACCATGGCCCGAAGCTAAGCTGGGACATTGGGCACCAAGACCAGGGTTCCCCAATCTGATCAAAATCTCCTCTTCCTTCTCTACCTTCAGGCCAGTGGTCCCAGCTCAGGGTGTTCCCCTTACCCAATGCAGCCTAGATATCTCTCCCCTCCTCCACTTCCAAGAGACTGGTCCTCCATATCCTTCTCTTCCTCTTCTCTAGATCCTAGGCCAGCTTCTATCACTCCACTCCCAGCATCATCTCTGCCCCACTTGGCGCTGGAGGCATCCATGCAGTGAGCTGGATGTTCCTGAGACCATATCCATCCTCTCCAGATCTTCTCTGCCCACCCTCAAATCTGCAGGGTGCCCAGTGTGGTTCTGGGAGGGTGGGTGGGAGTCCTCTTCACAGCCCTTATAATATCAGCTTGGAGGATCAACATGCCTGGTTCATAGGGCTCATCCACTTGTCCTGTACTCCCCAGAAATCCCACCAGGAAAATCTCATCTTGCTTACAAGACCCTCTCACCTGCAAGGGGTAGTTATGCTTTGGCCGATGAGGTGACCCCCAACACACACACATGTAAGCATGTACTTGTTAACAGGTACAGGTCCCACTGAGGAGCAGCATCAGGTCATGTCACAGAGTACTATCCATCAGAAGAGAGTAGATCCCTTGGGCCAGGCTCTATGAAGACCTCCATGGTCCTGTAGAAAGCCAAATTTGGTGTAGGATGGCAGATGCACCTGCTGGGAAGAGGAGGAACAAACTTGGAGAGATGGTGCAGGGACACTGGGGCAGCCCACAAGGCAATTTTGTGCAAATTAGAAAAATGTGCCCCTTTCCTGAAGCCCTTTACTGCTATGTGGTGAAAAATTGCCCTAATGGTTCCATACATGTCTGTTGATTGTAGAGTTGTGCAGTGCACAACCTACACAACAGTAACCGTTGGCCCTGAAGGACGGAGAGAGAAGGAGGAGGGGGCCCTAGGTTCAGTCAGGGAAATGGGGAAAGCAGTGATCAGTGACATCCAATATCACTAACTGTGGGATCTTAGAGGTGTTACTGAACTCCTCTAAACCACAATTTACTGATTTGGAAACCAGCAGTGATGGCCTTAGGGCCTAAGAGACAGTCTGCCTTCAGGACTAAATGAGGTGATGGATGCAAAGCTCTGTTAGGCAGGAAGTGCGAGCTCCGGTGATGGTGGACATGGCAGCAAGAACAGTAGAGCAAGAGGGCGAGAGAGGCTAGCTGTTCCCGGGCAGGGGACAGGTTTCACTAGCTTGTTGAGAAGGGGTGTGTGTCTGTGTGTGTGTGTTGTGTTGTTGTTTTGGCTTTATTTGAGAGCGCGTGCGCGCGCGCGAGAGAGAGCTGGGGGTGTGGAGGGGTGGGGGGTTGGAGCGAGGGGCTCGATCCCAGAACCCTGGGATCAAGACCTGAGCCGAAATCAAGCCTCAAGACGCTCAACCCAAGCCCGGAATTGTTTTAACTAGAAATTAACTGTCCGGTGGAACCAGTGTCCAACGGCTGAAGTTACCACGGTGGGCGGACCCCGAGGACACAGGGCAGGGGCTCCGTAAGGGCCGCGGCGAGGAAGGGGCAGGGGCTCGGGTCTGAGGCTCGCACAGGGACGCCTCCCTGTTCGCGGACACTGCCAGGAGGCCCTCCCGCCCCTCCGCCGCCGTGGCCGCCGCCCCTCCAGGCCGCTGCCAGCTCCTACCCTGGGGCCGAGGAGCGGCGAGAGGGCGGTGGCAAAGCCTCGGCGGATCGGGCGTCCGCGCACGCCAGCGCCACCTGGAGCTCAGGAGAGCGAGGTGGCGGATCGCGCAGGTCCCCCAGCTCGGCGGCCGGCTTGGTGCCGCGCTGTCGTTCCACCCGGACATCCCACCCGGAGCTTGGTGCCCTGGGGCCGGGTCTCCCCGCACCTACACCAGTCGGACCGCGGGAGGAGGCGGCAGAGACCCCCGGGGCGGCCAGGGCCTCAGGGGTTGTGGGGTGACGTCACGGGGTTGGGCCGGTAGCCAGGTTTGGCACGCACTGCCTTCATTGTGTACCCTTCCTCCCCTTTCCTCAGTGACTTCAGGGTAAAGTGCAAATTCCTTCAGTTTCCAGCTTTATATCACCTTTCCCACCCAAAGGAAGTCCCCAGGACCCCAGGCTGGAGCCTTCAACTACCCAAGGGGCCTTCCATGACCTTTCCCCAGGGCAGCTTCTGGTGCATGGCCCCCCCATCCAACCCATCTCAGGTTAAAATATAATTCCCAGGCCTCACTTCAATCCTGGCTTTGAGGCCAGGGATCTGTATTATTTTTCTCCTTTTTAATGTTTATTTAGAAAATTTAATGTTTATTTATTTTTGAGAGAGAGAGAGAGACAGAGTGTGAGCGGGGGAGGGGCAGAAAGAGAGAGGGAGACATAAAATCTGAAGCAGGCTCCAGGCTGTCAGCACAGCCCAAGGCAGGGCTCCAACTCACAAACCATGAGATCATGACCTGGGTTGAAGTCAGATGCTTAACCGACTGAGCCACCCAGGCACCACAATGTTTATTTATTTTGCCCCTCACAAGCAGAGGAGGGGCAGACAGGCGGGGGGCACAGAGGATCTGAAGCGAGCTCTGTGCGGACAACAGTGAGCCCCATGTGGGGCTCGAACTCAGGAACCAGGAGATCATGTCCTGAGCTGAAGTTGCCCACTCAACAGACTGAGCCACCAGGTGCCCCAGAATCTGTATTTTTAACGAGTTCCCAGGTGATTCTGATGTGTCTGAAAGCTTCGGAATCTAATGGTCTGCATTCCTGCTCAATATGGCAGTGGTTCTCAAACTTCGTCTGTCTTGTTAAAACAGATGGGTGGGACCCGCCCTCAGAGATTCTGATTCAGTGGGTCTGGGGTAGGGCCTGAGAGTCTACATTTCTACCCATTTTCAGGGTGCGGCTAGTACAGCTGGTCTAGCACCACACCCTGAGAACCACTTCTCTGGTGTGTTTAGAAGACCTATTCACCTGCTGCCAATTCACCATGTATCAAGCCCTGTGCAAGGCACTTCACATTCATGCAGCCGTGTGACATTAAGTATTTACTGTATTTTCCAGATAAGGAAAGTAAGATTCAGACAGGTTAACTCACTTGCTCAAAGTCACACAGCTAGGAAGGATGGGTTTTTCTGAGTTGGCTGTATCTCTTGTGCACTGCTAATTATCTGCCCTCTGAGGGTTTTGCTTGTCTCTAGAAGTCAACCCCAGCACTCCGTGAAGCCTGAAAAGGTACAGGAGAGGGCTTTGAGTCCCGTTCCCACACTGCCCTGGGTTCAGGGGACTGATTTTGCTAGGTGCCAGTTTCTCTGCTCAGAGAGTTCATGAGGAAGGGACTGAGAAGCCACCTTGTGTAGTGCTGACCCCTACTTCCATTGCTCCCGCTCACATCGAGAGTGGAAGATCCTGACTTCTCCCTGATTGGCTCCAGAGTCTCCTGGACATTCACCAGGGAATGGGAGGAGGGAAGGACACAGAAAAGGATGGAGGTAGGGCCATCAGAGAGGAAAAAGGAGAGGCAGTGCCGCACAGATGCCCCGGCACCTGTCAGTACTGCCTGGAGGTATTGCCCCAATAAGTCCTGGGTGGCAGCCTGTCCTCAGGGGCAGGGACACACAAGTGGAGCCATAGCTGTGGATGGGGTGGAGAGGAGAGCAGGTAAAGGACAGTGTGGTGAGGGAAAAAACAAATCTGAGTAGGCTGTTAGGGACGAGGAGAGTTCTCACCTGTGACTCCCAATTCCTGTCTATTTCACACCGGGCTTCTCCCTGGTCACCTCTGAACCCCCACTTTCTGTGGGGTAGACCCGAGACAAGGAGTCAACAACCCGTCTGGACAGTGCTTAATCTCCCCTGGCTCTCCCTTCCAGCCCCAGGCTTTGTGTTTCTCCCTGCTTGCTTCTGGGTCTTAAAGGTTTTCTTGGGGAGGGGAGCACAGTCAGGGAGCCAAAGGCAGGACCCCAAAGGGAGTGAGTCTGAACCCTGAAGCCCATCGAGTGGACAGGCCAGGACCAAGTAGTGCATACCCAATGAGTCAGCCTTCCCTACCCCAAACATCCATTGAACACCTCTGCGTGAGGGGCACTGTGCTAAGGTAAGCCTGGGACCCCGGGACACTGCCCAGGGAGGGGGCGGGGACTCAGGGAAGTCTTCTCTGAGGGAGGGGGAGAGAAGCTCTGAAGGGGGAATGGGAGCAAGCCAGGTGAAGAATGTGGGGGAACAACTTTCAAAACTGAAGAATCAGCATCTGCAAAGGCCCAGGGGCAGGAGGAAATAAATGGAAACCAACCAAGCACACTGGAAGTGACAGCAAGGGGAAACCCAAAGAGATGAGGTCAGGCAGGTGGACAGGGACCACCGCCAGGAGCTGAGGTAAGGGGATTGGATTTCATCCTAAGGGCTACAGGACACCCTGAAAAGGACTTACATGAAGAGACGACGTACTCCAAGTTGCACCGCAAAGATCTCTCTAACCCCATGTAAAATTCCAAAACTGTATTTGTTTGGTGAAAAATAAGAGTAAATAAGCTCATACCTGTTAGAATGTCTGCCACCAAAAAGACAAGAGGGGTTCCTGGGTGGCTCAGTTAAGCGTCCAACTTCAGTTCAGGTCATGATTTCTCAGTCCATGAGTTGGAGCCCTGTGTCGGGCTCTGTGCTGACAGCTCAGAGCCTGGAGCCTGCTTTGGATTCTGTCTCCCTCTCTCTCTCTGCCCCTCCCCCACTCACACTCTGTCTCTCTTTGTCTCTCTGAAAAATAAACATTAAAACATATTTTTAAAAAGACGAGATTATAAGTGTTGGTGAGGGTGTGGAGAAAACACAACACTTGTGCACTGCTGATGGGAATGTCACTTGGTGCAGCCACTATGGCAAATGGTATGGAGGTTTCTCAAAAATTAAAAATAGAACTACCATGTGATCCAGCAATCCCACTTCTGGAGATTTATCTGAAGAAGAAACAAAAACACTAACTCAAAAAGGTATCTGCACCCCCAGGTTCATCATAACATTATTTTTTTCATGTTTATTTATTTATTTTGAGAGAGAGAAAGTGAGCAGGGGAGGGGCAGAGAGAGAATCCCAAGTAGGCTCCACGCTGTCAGAGCAGAGCCTGATGCGGGCCTTGAACTCACCAACCGTGAGATCATGACCTGAGCCAAAACTAAGAGTCGGATGTTTAACTGAGCCACCCAGGCGCCCCCATCATAACATTACAATAGTCAAGACATGGAAGAAACCTGAAGCTCACTGATGGACCAGCTGAGGTAAGGGGATTGGATTTCATCCAATATATATGATGGAATATTATTCCACAAAAAGAAAGGAAATCCCGCCATTTGTGACACCATGGATGGACTTTAAGGTCATTGTGCTAAGTGAAATAAGTCAGAGAAAGACAAATACCATAAGATCTCACATCGATAATGAATAAACTTTAAGAAATTAAATATATGTCAAGTAATTTTTTAAAAAGTGCCACCTCTATGTGGGAAAGCTGAATAAATGGTATATAGGCACTCAATATTACATTATTTCTGATGACTGCATGTGAATCCACATTCTTTCAAAATAAAAAGTTAAAAAAGAGGATTGTGTTAAAACATTTGCAACTCATATCACAGAAAGGCTTAATGCCCTTGATATATAAAGAGCTTCTAGATATCAATAAGAAATAATAATAAAAACAAACATGTATTCAGCACATACTATGTGGCAAGTACTATTCTAAGATTTTTCTGTGCATTAATTCATTAAATCCTCACAACATTCCTACATTACCTCCATTTTGCAGATGAGGTGACGGAGACACAGAGAGGTTAAGTAACTTGCCCGAGGCCATACAGCTGGTAAGTGGTAGAGCCAGGACTTAAAATCTGGTAGTCTGGCTCCAGAGTTAAGGCTCTTAAATTCGATATTAAACTCTGTGGGCCTCTAGAAAGGACCCATAACCCAGCCGAATAAACCTGTCAGAGCATATAAATAAAGGAAAAACAGCTGGGCCTATTTTTACCACATGGGTAAATGTAGAGGCAGAGAGAAAGCCAGAGAAGGGTAGTACAGACCTGCCCCTGCATCCTGGGGACCAGCCTTCTTAGGGCCTCATCTGTCCCAGCTTGGGCCAGCCACTGTCACACCTCAGTTGTGCCCTTGCACAGACTCCTTCAACACAAAACATTGAGCCTGTCTTGCAAAACCCGCCCCTCTACAGCCACTCACTGCAGGAGGCACTGAGGGAAAGGGAAACAGGCCATGACTCAGCTTTCGCAGGGATACAGCATCCCAGGTGAGGTGGCCAGACAGGTGTGGGACAGGAGGGCTCAACTCGTGAAACAAAGAGGTCTAAGAAGGGAAGAGGAGATCCCTACCCCTAGGCCATTCCCAGCACCCCAGAATGACCCCACGGGACAGATAGGCAGCTCCAGCAAGGGGCAGACAGCATTTTCAGCCCTGGGATGTACAATCTTCTCCTTCAGTTAATCTCAGTCTTGCTGCTCCTGAGGGAAAAATGGAAACAAGTGAAAATATAGCTACAGATACCCGCAAGTACATACAGGCACACACATCTGTGTACATGCAGCTACACACACACCCTGTCTGCATGTCTGAGAATAACTGAGGCCAAAGCCTTCATGCCTGTAGGGGAAGTGAGGGCTGGCTCTCCTTCCTCAGGGCTCAGATATGACAGCGGATGAGGGTGAAGCAGGGAGAGTGATGTGGGTGAAAAGAAGATCTGGTGTCCAGGGCTGAGACTTTTGTCTCTGGGTTCAAAGGTTTAAACCAAGAATGTTTTCCCTAGGTTTCAACTCTCTTCGCGGCAGCTTTGGCCTGTTAGGAAACAAGGTTGAGGGAAGTTGAAGGCACCGTGTGTCTCCCCAACCCTGAAGGCTATGTGGTGGATAAGGAGAGCACAGGACTCAAAGCAGAACCCCTGGAAGCTGGCAGGGAGCACAGCAATCAGTTGCTTCAATCCATTATTTTCTTGGAAGAGCCTGAGGCCCAGTGAAGAAAGGTGACCAGCCCAAGTCCTGCGGTGAAGTGGTAACAACACTGAGTCCAGAACCAATGGCTTTTGACTCTCTGTCAAGTGCTCTTCCTGGTACTCGCTGCACATGGCATTCTTGGTCATTTCCAAAATGGCATGGCGCCCACAAGACAGCTGGTGGGAGTGTGCTTCCCACATAATAGGTGAAGGTTTACTTTCTGTTTTATTCAGTACTGTTTGGGGCCATGGGGATGGTAACCATACACTGTCACTCTTAACTGTTATCATAATAATAACAGCCTACATTTATTGAGTCCTTATACTGTGCTGAGCATCACTTCCTGGATCTTCATGACAACCCTGTGATACAGGTACAACTGCTTTCCCCATTTTACAGATGAGGAAACCAAGGCTCAGAGAGGTTAACAGATTCACCCAAGGTCACACATCCAGGAAGTGTTAGTTTAAACCACTTCCCATGCATTTCACAGCTGCCTCGCAAGTACACTGGTAAATAAATATAATTTCAGATACTGTTAAGTACTAGGTAAAGATAAAGCATGGTGAAAGGCAGAAGATGGCCAAGACGGTGGGTCTTTCCTGATCTCTAGGTTGTCAGGGAAAGGGTTCCTGAAGACGTGGTGACATTTGTACAGAATCCAGACTGGCAAGGAGCCCACCGTGCCAAGATCTGAGAGAAGGGCATTTTAGACAAAGGGAACAGTTTGGATTTTCTTCCAAGAATGATTGAAAACCACTGGAAGGTTTCTGCAGGGGTGTGACACGTTTTGCTGTGTGGCAGAGCTGGACAAAAGATTTGGAATCTTCAGGAAATCCGATGATCTTGGAGGAGAAGGGGAGATGGGGCAGAGAGCAAGGGCATGTGGGACCAGCACTCTCATTTTGCTGCCCAAATTCCCAGGGCCCTTCTAATAGGATGGGTAAGCTTTGAAAAGAAAGAAGGACGGTGGTCCCAACTCAGACTATCCCTAGTCCTACCACATCTGCCTCATGGGGTGGAACAGATTTGATGGAGGAGAAGGGCCTGGGGTCTGATGGGGATGGGAGGGGAGGGTGTCCAAGGTGGGAGTTTTTCACAAGACTGTCATCAGGAGGCAGATTTCTGTGGAGGTCACTCTGTCCCACACTTCTTTTTGCCAGGAGAGGGCTGGGGTGAGTAAGCATCCTTCCCCACAAATCACTACCCCCAGGAGATTACTTCTGCTTCCCTCCCCATTGGGAAGTTCCTCTCCAGGGCTCTAGGCTGGATTATTTAGGATTTGGAGGAAGGAAGCCACTTGGGTGCACTGAGACATCTGGGAAAAGCAAGTTCTGTGGACTTGTCTTCCATCCCGCCCCTTTCTCTCAAGCAAGTCTCTGTTCCCCTGTTTGGCCAAGTCAAGACAGGACTCCATCATGTCTGGGGAGGGACAGAGTGGTGGGAGGTGCAAACAGCTCCCTTGGCTGCTGGCTGAACTCACCTTCTTCCTTTCCTCCCCTCCCACTCCCAGGATGTTAAAGAAGCCAAAGAAAAATGAGAGCCGTATTCCTTCCCACAAGCCCACAGGCTCAAGGCTGGAATGGCTCCTGGGCCTGTAGCTACTTGCAAGGCTATTTGCCAGTGACCCTCAGGGGCACCCTTAACCCTGCTCCACCACCCTCTCACTGAAACCTTAAGGTCCCCAGTAGGAAGAGGACTTGGAGGGGCTGATCCTGAATCTTAAACAGTGAGGCAACCATTCCAACCTCTGGACACAGACCCTGTACCAATGCCATTCAGGTCCAGAATGGTTCCTGGCACATAGGGAGATGTGAGGAATAACTGGTAATTGAAAGCTCCAGAAATGAGCCACTGTGTATCAGTCCGTTTTGAGGCCACACCTGAAAACAGGTTTTGACTTCATGCTAACTAAAGTCCAGACAGATTCCCAGTGAAGTCACTTAATGCACTGAACACCTGCAGTGTAACAGGTATGTGTGTGTGTTTTTTTTTGTTTTTTGTTTTTTGTTTTTTGTTTTTTTTTAATTTTTTTTTCCCAACGTTTATTTATTTTTGGGACAGAGAGAGACAGAGCATGAACGGGGGAGGGGCAGAGAGAGAGGGAGACATAGAATCGGAAACAGGCTCCAGGCTCTGAGCCATCAGCCCAGAGCCCCATCGCTGGGAATCACGGACCATGAGTAGATCGCGGGACTCGGCTGAAGTCGATTGAACCGACTGCGCCACCCAGGCGCCCTTGTGTGTGTATGTTTAACATGTATGTTACATGTCCCCTCTGAGCTGGACTCATTAATTGGATCAATGAAAGCGGCATGATCTTATTAAACATGACCCTTCTGTCCCTGGTTTCTCTTACAAAAAACGGAAGCAATAATACCTCATCATAAAGCTGCTATGAGAATTACTTAGAACAGGACATAAAAAATAGTTGCCATAGGTGCTTAATAAGTGGTGGCTGGTATCACTGTGGCTGTAAAGGTTGAGGTGCGGCGGACAGCTAATAGGCTCAGGGTAGCAGAGCTATAGGACTGGGCAGCCAGGTGCAGTTCCCGACTTTTGGGAAAGATGCCCCGGATTCCCAGCAAGGGGGACCAACTCCTCCAGAGCAGTGAGGGATCGGGAAGCGGTGAGGGGAGTAGTTTGCTGACTCTTCTAGTGAATTGGGCGCTTCCAGCAACCCTCCCCGTTGCTCCTCACTACCCCCCCGCCCACCCC